GTGACTCACCACTAATGCACTGATGTGTATCCAGATCAGATTGAAACTGCGTTTCGGTCTGGCTGACTACTTGTTGGTTTATATACCATAACATCTCCTTTTAAGTAAGTTATCTGTATTTCAATGTCCGCATCAAGATGCCGTCGCGCATCTGACACAACTGACCAATTTCAGCTGATTTTGCGAGAGTGCAGATATTCACCCCACCCCCCACCGCAACACATACGACATTAGCTGCAATACAGTTAATATAGACATTCAAAAGAGTTCTCATCTCCTTACATGAGTTACGATCCTTCACTCTTTTCTACGTATATGTGTAATATAATGTTAACATATCGATAACAATACTTCCTGCTTAAAATAGCAATTAAGCAATATTGATCCTGGCCAGTCATGTGTAAATAATCGTTTACGGTTAACAAGTGTTTTATGGGAAAATCAACACTCCAATCTATTTTAGGATTGCTTTTCTCTTTGCTAAATGTTTTATGAACGGAAATTTCTCCAATTCGTCGTTTTGTATTTCATTTTCAATTTTATCAAGTCTTCTCGGTCATATCTTGTTTAAAACTTTGGATTTTAAAAAATTGTTACTGTGATTGTAGAAGACACAATAAAAGCAGAGTGTTGCAATTTCCCCCCCCCCCCTTTTTTTTTGTTTTCGGTGCAACTCTAGAAACATTTGATCGTTTTTAAATAAAAAGACTGGCGAGTAAATCTAGAGATGAGTTTAATATTTTTAAAAATTTAAACTGTTTTATATCATGATAGGTGAAATTAGAATTCGTGCTCAGCAAAAATACAAAAAAAAAACCCAAAAAACAAAATGTTTTATTTCTTGAAGATGAGTTTTCATTCTTTTATTCGACAGGTTTTAAATACTTCTACGAGCCCTAGAAGATCGAATATCACTAACTTTCGCTATTGAACTGAAGGGATTTTTTCTGTAATTCACCCAAAATGTAAAGTTACTTATCGCAAATATTAATTCACCCCAAGAAAACAAGTTTGTTTGTTATTAAATCTTTGGTACTCTTTTGAAATTATAAATTTTAAGTCAAAATTTGTTTAACTTGCCTCACAACAACTTCAACCCTCAGAATTAAATTATTACCAAAAAAATCAGAGAGTTATTCACATTTCGTAAGTGCAGATGATATTCCAGGTATTTAGAAGGGATTTTTACAATTTAAAAACAAAAAAGGAAAAAAAAGTCTCTTTTTTGCTTGCTTATCAGGGTGAGGCCGAACGTAGACCCCATACTTAGAAATAGCACACCCGAGTCGCCCACATTTGGGGCGATCGCAAACGCCAACCCAAACGTAGTGCAACAAAAGGGACTCGCTCTAGGAGAATTTGGTGTGAATTTTAATAAATACAAATTCTTTTTATTTTGGAGTGAATATTTTGGGATGTATTAACAGGAAAAATCTGAACTAAATTTTTATTTGATATTTAACCAAATATTTAAAAATTTCATAAAATTTCTATAGATATTTTTCATTATAGTAAGAAGTTCTTGTGCGATAAGATAAAATGAATTGAAAGAAATATACATCGATAAATGATTTGATTTGAAAACAAATTCAATATGGAACTGTTAAAACATAAAGAAATATGTGTAAGTCTTCGATGAATGGACCAGTTGTTATCACAAAATTTTCAAAAGATTCACCATCAATTTCGACTTGTTTAAAGGTCAGCTTTGTATTAGTAAATAAAAATATTTCTGATAGCTTTTCGTCTAACATATCTCTTCGATTTCATTTCATTAAGATATCACGGCTTTATTGTCAGTGATAAACTAAAAAGAATGTTTTTTCTTTTTAACTTATAGCAGATCGTGAGTTTACGTGTTATTAAATTAGGAACACGTGTGTAACTCCAGATATAATTAAAAGGTCCACTACAAGTTGAGTCCAACCGAAGATGTAAAGAAAAAAACAAGACCGATATATATATATATATATATATATATATATATATATATATATATATATATACATGTATGTATATATATATATAAAAGTGGACAAAGAAGTCAACACTTAGAGACGACAGTCTGTTTCATGCTGTCGCCTCTAAGTGTTGACTTCTATGTTCACTTTTATATTTACACACGGTCTATCTCTGATATTGAGCACTTTATCCCATAAATATAGCACATCTTAAGACTATATTTCTTCATATATATATATATATATACAAACAAGTATATGTATTAAACAACAAAATTTACAATGGACATAGACATTAACATTTGTGTTTGTGTATGAACGTAGAGTTTGTATTTTGGTGAATGTTCGTACGTACGTGCACGTGTGTCTAATGGCGTTTTCCCTCGAGTGGGCAAAAACGCAGATCTCTGCGAGAGATCACATAGTGGATGTGTTCGTTGAAAATGAAGAAATGAAAAAGAGTATTAACTTCGCCTCCACGCGAGGTAGGATGAGGCACAAGGCCTGAGGAAAAGAGAACGAGGCAAGAAGTCGCCCAGCATTTATAGTGTAGGGAGAGCGCGCCCTAGTGAACAATTAGGGAATTAAGGAGGAGTTAACTCCGACAAACTTACCTGACAGTGACTATTATAACCAAAATGAACAAAATGGTTTTCAACGTTTATTATGTTTGCAATCTCCCGAGTGGGATAATATTTTTTTTTTTTTCAAAGAATATTTTCATTTGATCAATATCAACCTCGACTGCAGAGCATCGTTCAATTCAATCGATTTTTGAGACGATTTTCTGGGGAAATACAATGGCCACTGGTTGTGGATTAGGGACGAACTTATAAGGTTTCATCTGCCATCAAATCCAACGACACGTTATTGACTGGATGTAGAGAACATCTAGAACCTTAAAATATGTAAACTTTTATAATTTTAATTTTAAATCGATTTGGCGAGTGAGTAAATTAGGTCTTGAACTCTGCTTTCAAATATGACCAAGTGAACATAATCGTTATCAATCTGTACTCTTCAAAGTTCAATAATGAAAATGGAAAGAATGTAGAGGTAAATAAAAAAAGCCACACATGAAAAGGACGAATATAAATAACAGGCTATAGGAAAAAAAAGCCATTAAGGAAAATGAAATGATAAAATCTACAGACGTGGTAGAAAAAGAGAATTTGCAAACAAATCGCTGTTCGTTTGAGTAAATTCAAAAGTCCTTCGACTTTGACTCTCTCACACACACACACACACACACACACACACACACACACACACACACACACATATATATATATATATATATATGTACTATATATATATATATATATATATATAGTACAAGACAAAAATGGACGCATCCAGCAGATATATATATATATGTATATATGTACTATCCATCGGATATATATATATATATATATATATATATATATATATATATATATATATATATATATATATATATATATATATATATATATATATATATATATATATATATATATATATATATATATATATATAGTTTATGAAAAACTAGGTAATCCGTATGGGTAAACCTAAGGAGGATAAAATCCAGAGAGCTCAATGTAAATCCAGAGCAAATAATGTAAATAAAAACAGACCACTTTAAGTTTCCATGTAATAAATTATTTCACCACAGCACTTTTTAAAGGACTGCAGATCATCAGACTTTCTGATGATCCGCAGTCCTTTTAAAAGGGCTGTGGTGAAATAATTTATTACATGGAACCTTAAAGTGGTCTGTTTTTATTTAATATATATATATATATATATATATATATATAGTACGAGGCAAAAAATGGACGCACCCATCAGTCAGTTATGTGCCGTGCGTGATACACGCTTAGGAGATCATGTATCTTTCGATACATGACTGACGAGGCAGATTTTTTTCCCCGCAGTTGGTTGGCATTTCCTTCTGCGTTAGACCAGTTGATAACCAAAGCTAGAACCCGGTCTCTCCTGTTATTTGCCCATAGCTTAAGATTCATACCTTTCCAAAGGGTAAGTGAATATAATGGATTCGAGTGGAATTTGAATTCGGCTCTCCGATTAGAAAATCGTTTTTTGCATTTTTACCAAGACAAGTAATAGAATTCTTTTGTTAATACAGGTGTATTAATGCAGGTGTACATATTTACATTAAACAAGTCAAAAAATGATTTAATAACAAAAACGATCCAAACTGCCTTAAAGAATAAACTTTATCTCGAGAGGAAGTGCGATAAGGGTAAATTGAAACTCTTCCAGTGGCCTAGTCACAGTCCTGTTCTTAACCCAATTGAAAACCTTTGGGCAATAATGGACAAGCGTTCCCATAATTGGAAAGTTAACACAGAAGATGAGCTTTTTCTCGAATAAAAGGAACACTGGAGAAGTCTGGCAAAGAACGTTGACTTACTAAAGAATTTATTCTGTAGCATGTCATGAAGAATCAAGGCCGTTATTAAAGCAAAAGTGTACCCAACAAAATACTAAATCATTTTTTGACTTGTATGATGTACATATGTACACTTGTATTAATAAACGAATTCTATTACTCACTTGTCTTGGTAAAGATACAAAAATCGACTTTCTCTGAGTGCGTTCATTTTTTGCCTAATAATGTATATATGGGACTTTTTGTCAGGTAGTGGTCTACTTCTTGTGCCGTGTCTCTTCGGGATATAGACGATCATGGTTCTCCCCAATTTCCTGTCCTTTGTAGCTCTTAATAAATTTTATCTTATTATTTCTAAATATTGTTCCGCCTTCTATTTACTCAAGCTCATTTAGTACGTTATGCGGTGTTTTCCCCTGTACCTTTTGCCTTCAAGCTGTCCTGTGAGTATCAGATTTTCTAAGCCTTCTTTCCTCATTATGTGTCGTAGAAGCTTTTGGGAGATAATAATGATTTACAGATACAAGTCCTACAAATTAGCCCATAGCTATGGCGAAAAGAGGTGGATTCATACATTTCTCAAGTGAATATAACAAACCCAATTGGAATTGGAAGTCGGCTTTCCCATTACACCACTCACAGTACTTGGTATTCCTAAGCGTTCACCTATCTATGTACTGACTTGGTTTGATGTTGCTTAACTTCGGTGATCGGACGAAAACCAGTGCTTCAACGTGATATTCCTACAAACAATAAGGCTGTTTACTATATGAGGTGACTCATTTACACATTAATTCAAAAAGACTATAAATAGCTACAGCTATTACCTATGAGGCAGTTGAGTGCATACTTCTTCCCGTGAATCAGTAACACTACACTGGCATCGCCGATATCTAAAGAAATGAATGAACAATTATCACGGGATAATTATGAATACGCTCAAACGTGGCTTAGGATTCTAGCAGCCAAAGTTAGAACAAAAAAGCTGAAGGATTTAAAATCAGTTGGAGGAGACAAATCAAATAACTGATCTATTTTTAGCAACTGCTGATTGTGAGGCCATTATAAAATTATCAGCAATTGCACCTCCAAAACAGTTGGAGGAAATGACGTTTGATGATATAAGTCAACTAATAATGAAAAACATAACACCGAAGAAAAATCTTATGAATGCAGAGAGAGCTAAGTTTATGAATATTTTTCAAAAAGTGAATGAACCAGTTAGTGAATATGTTCTTTGTTTGAAACAGGCCGCTAAATATTGTGAAAACCAATCAATCGAAGAAGATTTGATCCAAATGAAATTGGTAAACGGCCTTCAAAATGAGGAGTATCAGCAAATGACTCTAATGCATTTACAACTGGGAAAGTTTCACTAGAATAGTATATCGAATTTGTTCAGCAACATGAATTAATTGGAAAATTTAATGGAACAAATGTTACGGATCTGGTAGAAGAAATAGACATATAGACAGATAAAGAAAAAAGACAGAATAATGTGTACTTTTTGAGGATATCAAAATCAAAGAGAAAAACAAATGTCCGGCATATAAAAAAAAATGTAGAAAGTGTTTCGAAATGAATCAATTTAAATATATGTGTAAATCCAAAAAGAAAAATGTAGAGACGGTCCAACAAAATGAAGACGAAATATGTATGGGCGCCTTGTCATTGAAAGAAAATGAAAAGGGATTATTAAAAACTCGAAACAGTAATGTTTTATTGGACATGCAACTAGATACGTAAAATGGCATAACGTTGATACCCTGAAATTTCTGGAAGAAATTAGGAAAATCAAAATTAAAGAAAAGCCATATCTAACTGAATCAGTTCAACGGATCCGTGATAAAAACGTTAAGCTATTTTGAAGACTATGGGGAACTAAAAAATAAGTTTGACGTATTACCAATTATCGTGGCAAACTGAAAAGAATCACGGTTTAATGGCAAATGTATTGATCATAAATTCGGCAAAATTGGTAAACAAAGTCAAAGCATAAGAAACTGGAATATTAAACTATGAAACAAAGTGAAGACTAAAGGAAAATTTCTCCCCTACATATTTTGAAGTACGAAAAGGGTCAGTTCATCTACTATCAATAGATGTGGAAAAACTAAAACAAATTACTGGAAAAAGATCTACTTGAAGAAGTTCCGCAAATGGGCCTCCTCGCTAGTAAATTTAAGAAAGGATGCGCATTTGGGGTGACTACAAAATAGGCGTAAACCACAAAATATATGCCGACTCATATCCTATCTCCAATATAGAATGGGCTTTGAATACCCTTGTAGGTATGAAAACATTCTCTAAAATTGATCTAAAGTAGACATACCATCAAACACCTATTGACGAAGACTTTAAAGAAGTCACAACAATGAACACGCCATTAGGCTTGTTAAGATGGAAAAGAATTGCGTATGGAATTAAAACCGCATGTGTGGTTTTCAAAGGGCTATAAAGCAAATTATTGGTAGCGATATAAAAATACAATATACTACCAGAATGACATTTGTATTGGTGCTATTAACGACGAAGAATTCAAATAGAAAACAGGTATGGTTTTGAATAAGCAAAAAATATTCTGGATTAAAAATTAACGAAAAACAAAACAAAACAAAAAAAACAAAAACGTGTGCAGAACACTAAAAAATATAATTTTGGGGATATTCCATATCTAATGACGGTATATCACCAGAGAAAATATTAAAAGATGAAGTACCTAAGAACAAAAAAAGAATTGGAATTTTTCTTGGGATTTGTAAATTTCTACAGACGATATGTAGAGCGATATTTCGAATTGACGGAAATTTTTGCCGCTTTAAGAAAAAAAAAAAATTGGGGCATTTGAAAATTTAAAAGTTATTCCGGCAGAGAAGCCAGTAGTAAAAATAGTGAACCCTAGAAAAGAAATATTAGTAACAACTGAACATAATTTCAAGTCAAGTCTCAATTTCAAGATGGTCATTCTATTATGGATATTTCGAGAAAATTGTCAAAAGCCGAAGTGAACTATTGAATATCTGTCTATATTTCTGAGATGAGGTATTATGTACACTATTTACATTATTCGGACTATTGTCCTCATCTTTGTCGCCATATTTATTACAACGTTTCGGCCGTTGTACGCTCCGGCCTTCTTCAGGTGGTTGGAATGTCGAACTGAACCCTTTATTTTGCTCCTTTATTTCCACGTGCCATGTTTAATGGATGTCAGTTATCTTCTTGTTAATTCCCATCTCCAAATTCTCCACTGCCTTAACCGGGTATTGAACTCAAACTCTTAGGGTCCTGTCACTGGAAGTTACTAACGTCTTTAACCACTTGTGCCATTTGTCCTTGAGGAGATAACTGACAACGACCGAAACGTTGTAATAAATATGGCGACAAAGATGAGGGCAATAGTCCGAATAATGTAAATAGTGAACTATTCAAATATTGAGAAAGAAGCGTTGGTCATAATATGGACGACAGAGCTCGTCAGTTTCCGATTGGAAAAAAATTCCTAGTAAGGTCCGACTAGAGATCTTTAGAATTCATATTTAATACTAGGAAGCAACTTCCTAAGGTAATTATTTTCTAGAATTCTAAGATGGGTCCTAATGTTAATGGCGTTTGACTTTGAGTATGTGAAAGTTAATATCATTCTGTATGTAGACATTTTGACACGATTGATGCTCGTTACCTTTGAAAGTTAGAAAGAGGAGGAAATATTCGAAGATACTTTCTTACACTGAATTGAAACTGATATTTTGTCGATAGACAAATTAGCTGAGGATAAGAAGCGAGAACCCATATTTAACAGTATATTGTTCAGGATGAAAAATAATAAGTGAAATAATTGCTCACGAGCAGAAAGGCGTTTTAAAGAGGTTAATCAAATTAACTGTAGAAAAGGGCATAATTTGTAATAGTGACGTAGTGGTTCCACCAGTAACGCAAAGGAGCAAAATTATGAAGAGTGTACATGATGATGTTCATTGCAGAATAACGTCTAGGCAAAGGAAATTAAAGCTAGAGGCATGGTGGCCAGGCTATTCTACAGATGTAGAAGAATACATAAAAGATGTAAAATGTGCAATGAAAGAAGAAAATATAGACAGACAAAAACACATACATGGCCTAAAGAGTCCACAACCCTGGGACAGAGTACACATAAATCATGCCCATGTTAATGGAGTGGGATTATTACTAATATTGTAGATGCGTATTCAGGCTGGACAGAAGTAATACAGGTTTCCAACAAAAGAAGTTCGACCGTGAAACAAACGTTAAGGATCATATTTTCAAGAAATGGAATTCCGAAAACGCTAGCATCTGACAACACTGCAGTGTTCTGTGACGAGGAACTATGCCAATGGTTGAACAAAATTGGATGCAAACCATATAAAACCCCACCTTACCATCCAAAATCAGATTAGTAGAAGGTGTGGTGCAAACTATAAAAGATGGATTGAAAAAAACGGAACAACGGAAAGAAAAGAGAGAAACATTTCTTCCTAGATTATTGCTAAGTTATAGGACAAAACCAAATGCTGGAAGATCGAAAAGCCCATCCTCCCTCATGGGTAGACAAATTAGAACCCCATTGAACATGTCCTATGTTACCAACGAAAAACTATGGTACAAAAAGAATAGTGAATCTAATCTACAAGAGGCAAGATTCATAGTGCAAAGTGGACAGAACACAGTGATAAAACATGGAAATGGGATATTAACGCATGCAGACCACATTAAATTGTAACACGATAGCGATGAAGAAATGTATGAAGTGAGCCTGAAAGTAATGAAGGCAAAAGTGTCATCTCAAGGCAAGACAAACTAGACTCTGAAATCCAGAGAAATATAGACTCTGAAGATGAACAATCGTTGGAGGAATGCTCCTATGAAAAAAAGGTCAAAATCTCCCATATCTAGACAATCTCTTAGGGAGAGGGAGGGAGAGAGAGCGTGTGTGTGTGTGTGTGTGTGTGTGTGTGTGTGTGTGTGTGAGAGAGAGAGAGAGAGAGAGAGAGAGAGAGAGAGGAGACAAAAGTAGTACCAGGTGAAAATAAGGGGATAAAACCTCTTCAGTAGAAAGAGATCAGGTCAGTCATTTACATATGAAGTCACAATGACTATAAATAGCTACAGTTATTACCCACGAGGTAGTTGAGTGCATACCTCTTCCCGTAAGTCAGTAACACTACACGATACAACACAATGAAAAAGGCATCCGTAGAAGTTCAAATGACAGGCATCTTTTTATGCCCAAAATTTATTGCGAAAATGTAAATAAACTGTAGTTATAATTTTTACTACAGTCATTGGAAGGTTCTTTTCTATATTAATTGTGACTAATTTATTTATGTTATTATAATCCTCTCGAAAGGTAAGACTGTTAATCTATTTTTTATATTCGTGTTTTACAGATCCTAGGCGGTGAGGTGTATTTCTATCATGCTAAATTAATGATGAAAGATGCTTTCACGGGTGGCAGGCATGTCTGGCACCAAGATTACGGGTAAGTGGTTTTAGAAGACAACGATTACATTTGATTTTAACCTGAGATTCTTCTGGTCTCTTTGCTTTTGATCAGATGCGGCCAAATCTACAATTATTTACAACGAAGTGTGGGTAAGTTTTTTTTTTAACATGTCTTTCAGAATAATTGTACAATGATATGAATACATTTTTTTTACATTCCTCCTTAAGTTGATGAGAATTTTCTCCCACGAGTTGATCGTGACACCCGTTAACTGCCATTAATTATTTGTTAATTAATGACACTGCATGTTGCTTTTTCATTTTTTTTTGTTTAATAACCGCTACGTGTCGGCTGTTTTTTGGGATGGGTAAAGATGTCGCATGTTAAAAAAGCGTCATTATATTTATTCTAATACCTTACAATATCTAAATATAAACCTGGCTTGAAAATAAACAGCAATTAGGAGTAAATGTGCGGCAATCATTTCTTCATTTAAAGTGAAATGTACATTCCCCCCCCTCACACACAAACACGAAGAATTTTTAAAGGAAAATGAATGTTTGCATTTATTACAGAATATAAACATCAAGGTGTTACAGCTTTTTAGCATTTTACATATAACAGCTTTACAAGAACGAATTGCTTAAGGATGAAGATTGTGTAGCCACGGATTTAGTAACTGACTATTACTGTGCTGTGACATTTGCTTAAGCTGGATGTTTATAGGTAGCCATAAACTTTAAAGCATTTTTAGAGCAGTTTTTTGTCGCTCCTTTATTTTCAACATGGCTGTAATCGAATGGCTTCGTCAAAGTCTAACTTCTCTTCAGGAGTAGGTTGGGCTTTTACAGCTATCTTCACTACCGCAACTAGAGGAGAGAAAAGGGAATAAGGAGAGAGGATGTCGATCCCGATGATCAGATCCGTGCGAGTGCTGACTACTACAACTAGTGTATACATATATATATATTTATGTGTGTGTGGTTTTAAGGTTTTTATGTGGAAAAAAAAAGCAACCACCAAAATTTGAGAATAAAAAAGCGACACAGAACAGATCTAAAATACTTTAAAGTTTATGGCCACCTATAAACATCCAGCTTAAGCAAATGTCACAGCCCAATAATGGCCATTATTTACATTATTCGGACTATTGTCCTCATCTTTGTCGCCATATTTATTACAACGTTTCGGCCGTTGTTAGGCTCCGGCCTTCTTCAGGTGGTTGGAATGTCGAACTGAACAGTTTATTCCAAGGACACATGGCACAGTGGATAAAAGCGTTAGTTAGATCCAGAGACAGGACCCTAAGAGTGTGAGTTCAATACGCGGTTAAGGCAGTGGAGAACTTTCAGAGGGAAATTAACAGGAGATAACTCATAACTGACATCAACATGACACATGGAACTAGAACAGTCTACCCTAGTGAGCGAAATAAAGGGTTCAGTTCGACATTCCAGCCACCTGAAGAAGCCCGGAGCTTACAGCGTCCGAAACGTTGTAATAAATATGGCGACAAAGATGAGGACACACTAGTCCGAATAATGTAAATAATGTGCATAATACCTCATCTCAGAAATATAGACAGATACAGTAATGACCAGTTAGTAAATCCGTGGCTACACAATCTTTTCCCTTAAGCATATCGTTCCTTTAAAGCTGCTATATGTAAAATGTTAAAAAAACTAATCTCTTTGTGTTTATATTCTGTAATAAATACAAACATTCATTTTCCTTTAAAAATGCTCCCCCGTGTTTGTGGGTGATTCGGGTTCAGCTTAAAAGATTACAGAAATTAATTTTGTCTTTTATTTCTGAAAAATTCACCGGTGTGACTTTTGTTGTTTTTATCTTCGATTTCTTGCTGTGTTTTTTTTTCTCATGATAGATATTGGTATAAGAATGGCTGTCTGACTCCAGACCTTATGACTGTTTACATGGCTCTGGATCCATGTACAAAGGAAAATGGATGCTTACAGGTAAGGCACAAAAACATTGTGGAATTAATGCCTATTTTACAAGTACGAGGCAACTAGTCTCAACAATTGTTGAAACACTCTTCTATATCTCTTTCATGACCAATGTTAACTGTTATTTTCTGTTCATTACACATATTATTTTAATTTTAAGTCGTCCTGTAGGATGGGTTGGTAAAATTTCACACACACACACACACACACACACACACACACACACACACACACACACACACACACACACACACACACACACACACACACACGTGGAGCCCAGATTCAGAATTATAGAAAAATGCTAATAGATTTATTTACAGTAACTAAAAACTCATTTTTTGTACATTGGCAGACTCCAGATATTTGAATTTTTGTATTCATATATATTAACCAACCAGAGACGTCGTACGAGACGCGCGGTATTCTTTGAATTGGCAGACGGTAAAATATCTTAGAATGAAATTTTGGAGGCCCAACTCCAGAATATGATCAACAATATTTTTCTTGCTTAAAAGGAATATTTAAAAATTGGCGAAATGTATATTAACCAATGAGCTTGAGATTAATAAATCTACATTTTAGATTCATCCACAGCCTATTATTTTATTATAAATATGATCAATTCTTGTTTGCTAACTAGTCTTTCAGTGAACCTTTAACTAAGGTGTTTGTTCGATCGTTTGTTACACAAACGAAATTGAAATTCTCACACACAATTATTCATATCTTTCGCATATTTATTCAAGTATACAATGTTCGAAAAATTACGTTTAGCGGTAGAGACAACATTCCACTAATTTGTTTACTTCCCGTAACCATAACAACTAACTTCCGGTCTTTACTTCATGTATTTTACTGCTGGAATTTCATGCACACAGTGAAAACAATGTGCTCTATGTCACATATATCTGCACACGTATAGACGCATTTTCCGTTTTTCATATATTAACGTAATTCATTCAGGTGTACTGTAAAAAAAAAAAAACAGAATATTTTGTGTTAATTTGTTTGCATAAAAATCTTTGTAATTCATTTCTTTCAATTTAAAAGAAAAATAATCCTCAAATAAATAAACATTATTAAAATTTGTAGATCCGTGTTTGAAGATTCTCAATTCTTCGTTTATGCGCGCATATTCCGCTACACACACACATATATATATATAGAGAGAGAAAGAGGGAGTGAGAGAGATGAAGAGAGGTAAAGAGTGGAGTGGAGAGAGAAAGAGAGAGAGAGTAACAGAAAGCTGAGTATCATCTACCATGTATTCAATTGTGAAAGCTGAATAACATATCATGTTTGTATTACTTACTTCCAAGCTCCCAAGAAAATTAAATTTCGGCATTAAATGACCCATAAGGTGTTGATATGTCGTTAAACAAATTAAAAAACCAACCTAACTTTTGAGATGAGGAATTGTCAATTTGCTTTGACTTACTCGATTTTATTTGAAAATTCTCCTTGGTATTGGACATCTGAAGATAGTTAGAACGTACCTAGTCGAAACACTGTGTCTCTAATAAAGTCTATGACAACCAAAGATTAGAACAATAATTCGAATAAAATCGACTAGCTCAAAATATACTGTCTATTCATGAACTTATATTTTTGACTTTTTTCACTTTTCGTGATGAACAGAGGAAATAATTTTCAGAAAAAAACTCCTTTTCTTCTTTAAGATGTCTACTCGGCTTCAACCTTTGATCTTTTGTATGTTTTTTGTTAAATTTGGATTTACATTAAGCGCGATAATAAAAAAGTTGAAACAATTTAACAGGCAGCCAGATTTGATAAGTGACAAAGAAAATAATCGACGTAAAAAAAGGCTTAAGAATGAACCAAATGAAATGTGAAGTCCCGACTGAAAACAGCAAGACAGTCTAAAAATTAATTAAATTAAAAACTCCTTTCAAAGTCTGAAACATAAACTAAACACACGTTGCTGACATTTTAGTATCCATGGTGACTTCCAAAATTGACGTCTGCTTACGTCAATTTAACTTTTTTTCTAATTTCTGATTGTTTTCCACCATCTGTCTTTTATTTTGTTTATTTATTTAATGAATGTTCTATAAGCAACGTGGGTTACAGACGAGGTGAATAAACATTGAAAGAGGCACAAAATTGAGTCCTATATCTTGTTTGGCAACCAAATCTGATTTAGTTGTTATCATGTTCTTTGGAAAGATACTTTAATTCGGTATTTCTCTCAAGTAGTTATTTAGTTCATTGATATTGCGTTTTTTTATAAACAGTTCGCTGATCAATCGAGATAAATTCCTTCAGAAGTCGTGTTTTACTTTCTTGGCTATAGTTTGTATTTGGGGGCATCATTTATTCACAATCTGGTAAGTGGATTCTCCAGAATGCAGTCTGTAGCTTTAGCCACCGGATCAAATTTTTTTATATGAATTTGTTGATTTAATCAGAAATGTGGGGAAGAGAAAGCGAAAGATAATAATGAAGAAAGAAAGAAAAAAAAAGATGAGTAAAATAGAAATGATAGAGAAAGTGGGAAGAGAAAGAAAAATAGAAAGAGGGACACACAGAGAGAGAGAGAGAGAGAGAGAGAGAGAGAGAAAGAAGTGTGAAAGAGAGATAAAAACTGAGAGTGAGAAAGAGAAAGAGAGTGAGTATAAGGAAGGAAGACCAAGAGAAAGAAATTGAGAAACAAAGAAAACAAACGACAAAGAACGAGAGGAATATGTAGAAAGTACGGTGCAAATTAATACTGCGTCTCTGCTGATTAAATGAAGAATATTATTTAATTAAATTAATTAATTATTTAATTAAACCATTTTTAATCCGTTTTCCTGTGTGAAAATCTTTTTCTCTTCGAAAGTATTCTAAGTTTGACTCACTGCTTGTCACAGTTTATCTAGTCTGATCCAAGGACTCAGTATGTGATAATATTCTACCAAAAGGCTATGAAATCCTTGCAGATGATTTAGTTAAATTTTTGAAAGTATATCTGGCCGATAAATGTTCAGCTACTTTGCAAACCTTCTTTGAGGCTAGATTGTTAACCGTCGTTTTGTAGCAGACCTTTGACGTTTCTATATTTATTTGTTTCTGTTCTTTGGTAAATGTATAAAATCGTTTTGATCTCTAAAGATCACGAAGCTTCTGACTATGTAATGTATTTGTAAATATGTGAAGATTCCAAGGGAGACAACTCTCGAAAGTTGCAGCTGCTACCCCGCCAGACTCTAGCAATAAAAAAAGAAAGCGTTTTGATTTATTGTCAACTGATAATTCTTCGAAAGGTTTCTGAACGCCAGTGAGACAATGCTTGGAGTATAATATTTGAAGATCAACTGACCCTCTCTCAATATTGACAGCCCAACTCTTGCAGGGATAAGGCACGTTTTTCGAGTCAATTTATCTATATTTATATATAGATAGGTATACATTTCTTATTACTATAATATTGTTATAATATATATATATGTGTGTGTGTGTGTGTGTGTGTGTGTGTGTGTGTGTGTGTGTGTATTATATTTTTAGGGAGTACAAGTGTTTGAGTTGCTATTCCAACATCCAGCCTATTCGATTAAAGAGAAATTGTGCTTCCTTTTTTCTATCAGGGAGACCACTTTTTGAACCAAAGTGTGCCGCTACCAGTTTGACTAGAAAGCACATATTCTCGTTTGGATTCTACGAATATATGCCAGAAAACTGGCTTTCTTTAATAGGTAGTTCCAAGATTGCTCTAGCAGGCTGACCTCCGTGGTTGAAGAAGTATGGGCGCACTTTAACTCAAATAGAGATTTCCCCGATGGGAAAAAGTGATGCAGTTTTGACTCCTCTTTAATTACACCTCCCAATCTAGGCCGGTTGTTATTAATTACCTTAAGAAAATCAAAAACAGGAATAGCAACTCAGACACATGTGCCCACTAAAAATAACTTTTATAGTAATGAGAAAAATGTTGGATAAAAATTCCTTTAAAAAAATTACTATAGGTATACATATATAGATAAAACACATATATGCACAAGATGTGGACATCACAACCGGACAGAAAACTCAAGATCAAAATATTAAGAGCCGCTGTTAAGCTGATATTACTCTATGGCGCAGAGACATGGAGACTCTCTAAAGGCATGGATAGAACCTACACTCGTCTTCTGATGAGAGCTCAATACCTCTCTTGGGAACGACGTCCGACCATCCACCAAATCTACGACACTCTTCCCCGTGTTTCCTCTATCATACGAGCTCGTCGAGTACAGTTTTCTGGTCACTGCCACCGTGACGAGAATGAGGTTGTCTCCTCTCTCCTACTCTGGAAGCCTGCGTCAAACCTGACCAGGGGCAGAAAACTGCCATTCCCTGACGTCATCTCAAGAGACTTGGGGACAGCAATGAAGGACTGGGAAGTCTGGCGTAGTGATGTGGACTCCATGATGTCGACTGGGGGTCGACATATAATGATGACATTATGTCCTTAAAACATTTGTCCTTGTGTGACTACCGAATTTATTGCAAGTGGCAAGTAAACGACTAAGCAACACCAATCAATTATAATTTACAATATGCCGAAACTCTCCGTAGCATTAAGTAACAATTTAGCGAAGTAAAATAGAATCCATTCTATTTTTTCCGTATAATGATCCTCTACTTTCCTGTGTGGGCGGAACCGATGCATTGTACATAGATAGTATTTCAGAGAATGTATATGATTCCACGTTAGTTTATAGTAGTGATGATAAAGAAGTGGTTCCACTATCTGCAAGTACAATTCTAGAAGGTCTCAAAAAAGCCAATAAACTTGGAAATCAATTTTTTTCAAATGATAATAATGTTGATCAACCTGTGCAATTCCAACATGATTTCAAAATGATTATGGCACGTTATGAAGAATCATATAAAGAACTAACAAAAGCAAAATCACAGTGTCCGATAACCGAATTCGTATTCAAAGCCAGTGAAACATAAGATGCTAATTTTATTCAAAATACACATGAAGATATCTCCACTAAATATTTGCAGTGACGAGAGTGATTTTTCACCAACGAAAAACAGCAGAAAGCGAACACGTTTACTGTGTTGTAGTGACACTGAATGACTATGTTATATATATATATATATATATATATATATATATATATATCAAGTAATTCATCGATCATCGAGTCTAGAGGAAACCTCAGAATGCGGAAAGCACTGGTTGGCCGTTTCATCCTATATCAGCATTGAGCATTTACTACCGAGAATTGAAACCCGGACAGTTACATTATCAGGCAAACGTCATACCAACTGGCCTTGGTGACGAAGAGCAAGCGAATTATATATTTTGCACAAAATACACGAAAATCGTGTGTGTATATATATATATATATATATATATATATATATATATATATATATATATATATATATATATATATATATATATAAATCGTATATATATATATATATACGATTTGATATATATATATATATATATATATATATATATATATATAAATCGTGTATATATATATATATATATATACGATTTGATATATATATATATATATATATATATATATATATATATATATATATATATATATATATAATTGTTTTTTATTTGCACGGTAGTCTCTGCAATGTATCCCCCGTGCAAAAAAGTGAACTAAGTGTCTACTGCAAAATGTATTGAGCGCATAAATTGTTTGCATCCAAAATGAATTGGTTTCCATTTTTCATTTTGACTAAGTTCATTTCCAAAATGTTCCATATGAGAATGGGTCGCTTTCACTCCAACTGAAGACAAAAAACAAACTTATTTACTAAGCACACGTAAATACAATCGCAGAAGGACGTGTACCTGTGTTTTATAGACTACGTAAAGGTGTTCGACAAAGTACGTCACAAAAATCTGAGAATAATCAAAATTTTCTATTGGCAATAAATCGCCTGCATACAGATAGAAAATGAGTTCAGCAGATATACAAAAATAGAAAGGAGGTGTAAGACAAGGATGAGTCTTCTCACCGGACCTATTCAACCTATATAGCGAGGCAATTCTCAGAGAACTAGAAATCCTTCCAGGATCCATTATTAGTGGCCACAATTTTAACAATGTAAGATATGCCGATGACACAGTGCTGATAGCAGACACGGAAAGGAAACTACAAAACCTCCTTCAGAAGAGAGCAAGAAGAAGGGACTAAGCATAAACTACAGAATGAATGGTCATCAGTAAAAAGATGAGTCGAAAATGCAAATAAAATGTCGGGGATACTAAATTAAAGGTCAAGCGGGTACAGAAATTTAAATATCTGGGAAGTGTTTTAACAGAGGACGGAAAATGCGACACTGAGATCCGAAGACGTATTGCGATGGCCAAAGACGTACTGCAAAAGCTAAGCATACATATATATATATATATATGAATTGAAACCAAATAAAGATGAAATAGTAATCGGAATCCGATAAGATAAAGAAAATAATGAAACTTTTATATATTTAACATGTTTCGCTTTTATAAAAACTTTCGTTACAGAATGAGATATGGAAAAAAATAGAGCATTTGATTTTCATTGGTTAAGCAGAATTCACATACATTTGACTAGTTAAGCTGAATTTATTTGTGTAATTGTATCATAATTCAGTATTCTGCATAACTAACATTTTAAAAATATATTCTTAAAGAGTTTAATTACCACGAACGTTACTGACCTAAAAAATAGTCTTCAAATCAACATGCAGACAACCTCCAATCATAAATAATGTAGAATAGCCACACATATATACATATGTCCATTATCATCTGAATCTCGCATAGACAAAGCAGAATTACGGTACATTTACAGGCATAATTTACACACACGAGCGCTGCTTGACAAGTCAGATACACATGAAGTCTACTTAACCAATAAAAATCAAACAATACAAAAATAAATCTACCAGAATTTTTTTTCCATATTTTTCTTATGATGCTTTAATAAAACCGAAACATATTAGATTTATAAACGTTTCCTAATATATATATATATATATATATATATATATATATATATATATATATATATATATAATAAAACAGTAACAAATTTGAAAATAATTAAAAGTAAGCAAGGGTGAGATAGTTGCGTATTTTAAGAATGCTGCTATTATATATATATATATATATATATATATATATATATATATAATAGCAGCATTCTTAAAATACGCAACTATCTATATAATAGCAGCATTCTTAAAATACGCAACTATCTCACCCCTTAAGCTTACTTTAATTATTTTCAAATTTGTTACCGTTTTACCGACCGACCGTTTGAAGGATGGATTTTTTGCAATGATGACATTTTGTAAATTTCATTTCTTCAGTGATGATAAGATATTGTCGATTTATTTTTTTCAGATAACATCTCAGTCAAATTTCACGGTTGAGTTCCATCCATAATTACACTGAACAAAAAGAGTCAGAGTACAAAACACAATTTTATGTTCCAACGTAACAGAAACGCTTTGTTTGTAATGTCCGGTGATTTTCTTTCGAGTGGTTTGGAGTTAAAAATTATTTCGCGATTGACTACCCCTATTTTATTTAGACATACACTAAAAATTCTTCATCGGGCAAGGTTTTATTTTGGAGTTTTTAAGTTAAACGAGGGTCAATCGTTTTTGCTTCAACCCAACTGACCGCTCCTAAAGTATCGGAACGTGAACGCTGTTATCAATAATTATTGGTTGATTTTGATATTAGTTTCATGGTCAAATCCACATCAGCATGACGCGTACCGAGTTGGCCATGTGGTTTGCGACGTGAACTTATTTGGTCACATAGTCGCTTAATTTTATCGACTATGAGTGACGCGTCCATTGATCAATTCAGCAATGAACTTGTTATGATGTTGATTTGGGGTTACAAACGCCAAATAACACGTAACAATAAAAAGGATTTTAATAGGTTGGTAAAAAGGTACAGAAATCGCCTGAGTAGTCAATAACTAGCTCAGCTAAGAACTTCTCTGTCTATCTGTCTCTCCCCATGTCAACTGACACGCCACTATTTAAAGTCTTTGTCCACAGACGTAGACAAGTTCATCTTCAAGAGGGGTGGTAGGTTTCCGACACAACAGAACCTCATTGGTCAATTGCTCTTTTCTGAATAAATTACAAAAGTCATTAAATAGTTATCTATTGTGGAAAATAAATCAGATGAGGATCTCATTGCAGATTGATGGATGTAGAAGGGATTTCATCAATTTGGTCTCGTTACATTTTCAATGTCTGTAAGGGACAGTCTTTTTTGTTTCTGAGATGCTCTCATATCCGTACCAAAATTTAGCGTCAGCATTTTCCATATGTTGATTTTTTTGCATGATCTCAACAAAAAATAACACTCACGTGGTTATTTATGAAGTTTTTGACGACGAACCGAATTCAAATTCAGGCTAAGAGTTAATATCCTTTACCCTAATACTTCTGGGAAATTCACTAATCACTGTATTCTGTTTATTTGCTAGATACCTTGATAAAAAAATCAAACTTGATTTAGTTCAACGTTTTAAGGCGAATGAGCTAAAAAGAAACTTTTTGTAATCTCCGAGAAGAAAGTTAAACATTCTGGTAAACATAAAATAAATACTGATGCAAAGCATATAAGAAGCATTCAACTGGAATTTACTTGTTCAATTTGACAGCATTGACACTAATATATTTAAAACATTCGTCGTATTAGCGTTTATATACAAATTTGAAAAAGACATGTCTTTGTAAAACCTTTTGGTTTTCGTTCCTTCAAAGTTTTTCAGTTTCTTCTTCATCGATTTGCTGTCAAAGAATTCGATCTTCTAATAGATAAACGTTTTTTTTTTTAATGTTGGGTCGTTTAATTTTGCAGGTTTTGAGAGGGAGCCATAAATGTGGTCGGGTGGACCACGGCTTCGTCGCTGGCCAAACCGGAATTGACAAAGAAAGGCTGAAGCATCTAATGGACAGATATGAGAAAATCTACGTGGAAATGGAACCAGGTAAGTCATTACTCACTCTCTCACTTACAGTAACCAATACTCACTCATTCAAATCTCATAGACTCCACTGGAGCATATGGAGCCATAGATCTTAAGCACACTAGTCGTTGCTGCTGTGGTTCTCGTAGCAGAGGCCAATGCATCATCCTGAAACATCTTTATGGAAATCTGCGAGAATAACAATTTTTGGATGCCTTGTTAAAACTCTAATTTCATAGAAGTTTTAAATCGATATCTGTTATTTGATATAAATGTCCCTTGTTTTAATCATTATAGACATCCATACTGTCCACTGATTGTAGTTTCTTTCCATTTCACGATATATCGCTGGAACATCACATGAATAATAATAAGAAAAATATTTTCTTTTTGTTTCGAATAAAAGATTTACTTTTCAGACGTCAATGAAAAAAATCACAACTACCCTTCGACTGCGTAGATGGCATTAGAAGTCACGTCACTTTCATGCACTCATCAGATTGCATTTAAGGATTTTGTTAAATAAATAACGTGTTTGTCTCTATTTCTGAGATTATTGTACACTATTTACCTTATTCGAACTATTGTTCTCGTCTTTGTCGCCATATTTATTACAACGTTTCGGCCGTTGTACGCTCCGGCCTTCTTCAAGGACACATGGCACAGTGGATAAAGGCGTTGGTTAGATCCAGTTACAAAGAGTGTGAGTTCAATACCCGGTTAAGGCAGTGGAGAACCTGGAGAGGGGAATTAACAGCAGATAACTGATAACTGACATCCATTAAAACATGGCACGTGGAACTAGAACAGTCTACCACAGTGAGCGAAATAAAGGGTTCAGTTCGACATTCCAACCACCTGAAGAAGGTCGGAGCGTACAACGACCGAAACGTTGTAATAAGTATGGCGACAAAGATGAGGACAATAGTCCGAATAATGTAAATAGTGTACATAACGTGTTTTATAGAAATGTGAATCAATTAATTTCCAGTAGGTAATGATCTTAATCAAACACGCATCAGAGAAAGCTTCAGCTTTTCTAGTTAGGAATCAACCAAAATTCACAAAAAATAATAAAAAAAAAACCCAAAAGAAACGCCCTGTAAATCTTGAATGTATTGCGTTGTTCAGAAAGCAATATTGCATTTTTAGGAATGGATAAGACAGAAGAACGAATAGACTTTGCTATTTACTAAATTTAACTTAGTCCTCACACAAGGATACAAGTGTGGAACACTCGGTGAGGATCAGACTCATTATTTATGATCTAAAAGTCCAACTTACTATTATTGCACGGTAAGTCTATTTAAAAAAAAATGCAGAAATTGGCATGTTATGGAATCGCACGATGCCAAAAAAGAATAAAGTTTTACCACAAAGAATAAATGAGTTAGTTTAATTTTGCGATTTTGTCATTCCAAATAAAAATGATTATATTTTTAATAAATAATAATTTTGTTACATTTTTACGACGTTTTATTCAGCTTCTAAAACTTGCGATATTGCTTTCCGTGTCACATGATATTCTCTTTTATATAAAAGCAATTTTTGTCTTCAAATATTTCAGCTTTTTACGACTTTAAAGATATTCTAAAATTTTGACCATACACTTTTGCTTCATTCTTTGGAACGAGAATGTAATAAATGGCCTGCAGAACGGGACTTTAATGACTTCCGGTCTCTTGACAGCTGCTTGAATTAATTTCCTGTCTTGGCTGTCGTGTCGATAGTTATACACAGACACAGTATCAATCCAATAGTCGGTGAGTTAACACGTTAAATACGAATTAATTCTCTCGCTTGTCAGGAAGAGGCGTTTTTTTGCCTAACGTTCTTAATCGTCAATTGTAAAGGGGCCGTCATTTTGTGGTCCGTCAAGGAAACCTTCAGATGGTCTCTGTGTCCACTTTAAACGATTTATACCAACATCATTGTTGTTGGGTTTGTCGTGATGCAAGTAAAAATGAAATTCAATATACATTGCGCACGTTGATATGAAAATGAAAAAATCTGGAAGAACCAGTTTTGTGCCAAGTTATGGACAAAACTCAGTAGTTAGAGATCAGAAATATTTGGTTGAGGTTCTTTCTTTTCAATATTGATTCGAGATTTCATGCTCAAAAATACAGCAATTGTGCCAAATGAGTTTCTAAGCATAGCTTAAATGTGGAGAAAGGCCAAAAGTGTGGAGCACCCAGTGCGGATCGAACTCACTACTCAGTCCTAACTGATCTAGCTTGCTAACCATTACACCACGTCAAAGTGCTCTAAAGGTGATTTTCTAAGCGTAGGTTAGATTTAGCACAAGGCCGAAAGTATGGGGCACCCGCTGCGGATCGAACTCAGTTGTAATTGTTCTAACGAGACAAGCTTGTTAGCCCTCACACCACACCCTATTTTCTAAGCGTAGCTCAGATGTGACACAAGGCCGAAAGTATGGGGCACCCACTGAGGATCGAACTCAGTACTCGGTCGTAATTGTTCTAGCGAGACAAAATTTTTAACCATTACACTGCGTCCTATTTTCTAAGTGTAGCCTTGTGGCACGTCTAAACGAAAAGTATGGGGCACCCAGTGAGGTTCGAACTCACTATTCAGTTGTAATTATTCTAGCGAGACAAACTTGCTAACCTTTTCACCACGTCGAAGAGCCCATTTCAATAGTGACTCCATGACACTCAGTAATATAAATAAATAAAATGAAATGGCTTCACAATTTGCGTCCGTTAAACATTTTTGCATAATGCAAGTGGTTGGTGTTTAATTTGAGTTTTTGTCGGTTTGAATGGCATGTCATGTGCAGGACAATCTTTAAATAAAACAATGTGAATTTTATGCATGGACATGAGTTGCCAGTCGAAAAAGAAACATTCAGCAATCAATAATTGAGATTTTCTTAGGAGCAAACAACTTATATTAAATCAGTCTTGTTAGCTTAATTACCGTATTTACTCGTGTAATTGTCGATCGCATATAAAATCTGATACCAATCCAATTTTAGCAGAAGGGAATCGGTAATTTTTTTTAAATGACGTGTAAAAGTTGCTTTTGTTTTTCACAAATATTTCAAGCTTACTTGCATTATTTACATTACTCGGACCGTTTTCCTCATTTCATTGTCATATTCATAACGTTTCGGCCGTTGTACGCTCTGGCCTTCTTCAAGTCATTGGAATTTCGAACCGAACCATTTATATCGTCGTAGATTGTCCTAGTTCCACGTATCATGTCTCTTCCGGATGTCTCAGTTATTTCCCTTTAACTCAGCTCTCCAAGTTTTGGTTAACCACTGTTGTAGCCTGGTATTGAACTCACAACTCTTTAGGGCTAGTCACTGGATCTAACCAACGTCTTTATCCACTGGGTCATGTGTCCCTGAGGACACCTATGTTTCCAGTCACCTGAAGAAGGCCGGAGCATACAATGGCCGAAACGTTCTGAATATGGCAATGAAGATGAGGATAACGGTCCGAGTAATGTAAATAATGCAAGTAATCATAATACCTCATCTCATGGATGCAGACAGATATTTCAAGCTTGCATACAATTGTCTGTGAAGATATCTTTTCAGAAATAACAGATTAGCATTTTATAGCATTTTTATACAATTGTTCTTCACCCAATATAAGGCTCAAGAGTCACTCAAGGTACATGGTTACTGAATGAAGTTGTTATAAGGGCGTAAAGGGTGGAAGTAAGAAGTGCATATTATGCTTTTATATTATTTTTACGCTTTTTGTACATGTGGATGATGCTATTATATGATGCTGTGTTCCTGACCAATCCAAATTTGTAAATAATTATACTGGATATACTATAACATGTTAAACAAGAAGACTCACGTTACATCTTTCTGACCATAGCTCAATTAGGTCTCATTTAAATAAACATGGAGACCTACCAAACTCTATCCGTATTATACTTGTTGATAATGCAAATAAAATAGCGTCATCCACATGTCCAAAAAAGCTAAAATAATGAAAGCATTATTAATAAAAAAGAAAAGCCAACTCTCAATAATATAAACTATGAACACGACCACACTGTGCTAACCGTGTTTGGAACATTCCTATAATCTTAGATACATACATAAAACAATGCATATATTGTTAAAAGTAAAATAAAATTCATCCTTGATAATGGCTAAAAGTATAGCTGAAAGAGCTTGGAAAACATTCAGACAATTTTTATATAATTTGTGTCCCGAAAAGAAAAAAAATTATACAAACACATGAGAAATTATATAAAAAAACTCAAGCACCACACCTTCTCAGCCGTTTTCAACGAAACTTGCATAAAAGACAGATTGCTGCCCAAATACACAATATATATATAACATCTTTCGCCGCTGCTTCCCTGGGAGGGGTTACAGGGATTGCTCGACCCTCAACTCCAACCTACTTCACTTCACATCTCGCACCGCTACTCCACACAGACGGGACTGAATTCTTCCTCTTTCTCGGTATTCTAACTCTACCCACTTCTTAGGGCTGGTATAACTGTCTTTGTGACAAATCTAATTTTTAAAGTGTGTAGGAGAAAGGGCGCGGTTTATTCTCCTCAATAATTTCAATTCTCTGACTTCTTTCCTGGACCCACTTGTCCAGCGAAAACAATCCAGGTTACCTTCTCATTTTAACCATACGAGCGATAAATAAAAGTTATTTTCCAATTTGTTTTCGTCAATGAAAATATATTTGTTTAATTAAATTATCAATGTAAATATATATAGATTTGCTTACCATATCACTATTAGATACTGTTACATTTAAAGTACTCTAATTGTGAAGATATACGTTTCATGAAACGATGATGCCATTGCTAACAACATTTTGGGAAGGAGATTAACTGAATATGTTTCAGTAATGCAGTCACACGTTTGCAGAATGTTTGGAAATTCCTCCAAATCACGTGCGGCTATTTTTTTAAAAATTGGTATCAGTCCATGCAAGTTAGTAAAGCCACTAAGATGCAAGGAATTACAGGGCGTGGAAGAATTAGGGAAAGAGACATTAATAATG